CGCCGGTTTGCGGTGCCGGGGAAAAGCCTGGAGCCGTTCATTTTGAGCAGCGCCAGCAGGCGGGCCCAGGGCTCGCTTTTCCTCCACAGCGCCGCTGTGTCCGGCCTATCTCCGGAGTGGGCATGTGATGGAGCCCTTGGGCTGCTCCACAGGAAAGAAAAGCCAGTTGTGAGAATCAAACTGATGTTTGTACCATTAAAGAAGCGTGTCATCATCCTTATTTACAAAAAGAAAAGGTCTGCTCATCTTAGCAAAGCACAAATGTCATTAATTGGTGTTAAAAATGCACTGGCCAAAATTATCCACACACAAATCCATTAATTGTGTCAGTTCAAGTTTTATTTCAGCATTGAAGCTTTCTCAAAAAATAGAGATTTTATCCCTCAATCTGCACAACACGGATATAAAACCAGATCTATTTAAGATGACTTTATGACAAAATAAAGACACTACCTCCAGAAAGTGAGGCACTTGTAGCGTTTACAATAAATAAAGCAGGTCAGGCCCTCACTGTGCTCCTCTCACAGTTAAATAACGGCAGGCAACACACATTTGCTGTCCTGTGATTTCAAACAAAATACACTTTCAATTATTTTTAATTAATTTTGATTCAGTGACTTTAAGTCCATAATCCTTTGACAGTAAAGGACTGACTGTATTAGCCTTAAATCAAGGAAGATAGTGAAGCTGATCCGAATTGTCTGCTTTTTAAAAGAGAATCAACTCTAAGACACAGTTGGGAGTGAATCTGGCGCATCCCTTTCTACAGCAGCACCAAAACTGCCTACTTTTTAGGGTGATAATAGGTGCTATTAGGATTCCACGTACACGGCCACATGCTTTAGGAGTTCACGTGGAAATTTATTTACAGCAATTCAGCACCACCTGCTGGCACGACTTTTTTTTAGGAGTAGCCTAGAAGGTGGTTTGTTTTTCTAACAGGTATAATTTCTTAGGTGTGCTTTAAACAGATTTTTTCTACATTTACTCTGCCTCATTGCAGATATTTTGGACCTCTTATATAAGCAGGGATGTCACCTCAGAATTAGAGTACTTAAATCTGCCAAAAAACCCCGTATAGATTAATATTATCTCCTGCCACCTACAAAAAGGCAGTATTTTAGCTAGCAACTCCACTAATTTCTCCATTTAGTTTGTACAGCACCTAACACATGTACCAGCCTTAAAATCCGACCACTAGCGTTCCTGAGAGGCTTTCAACCCCTACAACTCTCCTCAACAACCCCCAAAACCCCCAATTTTTGTTGTCTTTTTTCCTGGCATGCAGGTATTTCTGTCTCTCCCTCCTAAAGTCAAAACACAGGCTGACACTGCCCGCGATTACTCCCTTCAATTTATGACTTCAGTCGGCCAATTCCTTAGTTACTTCCACTGGGATTACAGTTTTCAAGGGACTCTTGCCAGCCAATGAAGGGTATCCACTCAACCATGTTTTCCTTGCTTTAAATATCAATGATGACAAAGACTTCTGGCTTTTCATCTTCACAGATCTGCATTGCCGAGTAAGTTATGGCTTTGACCTCTGTACCCTAGAAAGACAAGACACAAAAGCATGGATTTTCTAATTGCTATCTCTTGTAGCAGTTCATAATACAAGGTACTTGTCACCTCCTACAAATGCTAGCCAGTTTAACAGATTTTCTCCCCAAAAAGCTGCAACTGCATTTGTTCTGATGAATAAGAAATTTGGCAAACTAATGGTAAGGACTCGGCCAGGCCAAACAATGAGTAAGTAATTTTATCCTTATTTTATTTACAGTACAAATTTTTCCTCTTACCTCTGACACATCGACGTTTGCTGTGCTAATACTGACACAGCTCAAGAGCTGGCCAGGAGATACGGATTTGCTTCTAGCAATTCTTTAGAGGAAAAAAAAAGGCAAAACCCAGTAATAATTGTATGAAAACCAAACCCATGTACATGTTCTGAATGTAGATTGGTTTGCTGTGTTACCAGCATCACAAAAAAAGAAGCCAACTGTTGAGTTTTGCTGGTGCTGAGGAAGCATCAAACTGCTCAGGTCGAGAGTTTCAGGAAAGCATCACAAAAACCAAGCAGAAAGTGAGATCTTCAGTTTAGTGCCTGTGCTAGCATTCAGTGTTTAAACTTGGATCTCTTGAGACCTGATTTAAAAGACACCACACCTCCCCATCCCAACCCCTAAAAGATGTACAGATGAACCACGGCATACCTGGGGGTGTTTGGGTAAAGAGAACTCTTCTCCCCACCTTTAAAGGCAAAAACGAAGAGAGGTGGTTGAGGTTTTGGTAATATTTATCAAGTGTTATAATTAGTTTCATTGTGGAGCATAGGACAGTGAGATTTTCATCACTTTAAAAGCCTCAAAGGAAGAAAAGAAGTCCACAATCCATTTATTTGAAAGTACTGGTGAACTCCAGCACACCACAGTATTTCAGAGTGGTTAATCTGAAGGCAACATATGCATTTTCAGTAAAGATATTCTGTACACAACTGATGGTTTAAGCTCACCCAATTGATCTTATTTTGAACTGCATTCGGTCAATATAAAGCACTTTCACCTCCTGCAGAGAAAGCAAGAGGAGAAATAAGTAACACCTTCTATCTTCAGGCAGAAACTCTCAGTAAATCCCATTTATAAGGGTTATATTCCACTGTTTAAACAGAATCTACAACCAGAGAATCTGAGCAGCCTCAGAGATACACCGCTAC